ATAAGGGAAAAATCGATTCTATTAAGGAATGGCCAAAACCAACTGACAAACACCAAGTGAGAAGTTTTCTGGGACTATGTACTTACTACCGGAGGTTTATTAAGAAGTTTGCAGATATCGCTAAACCATTAACCCGACTTACAGAGGAAGCAAAAGAATACCGCTGGGATGTAGACTGCCAGAATGCCTTTGAGACCTTAAAAAAGCATTTAATCACAGCACCAATTTTAGGGTATCCACTGCCAGAAGGAGAGTTCATCTTAGATACAGATGCAAGTAATGTGGGAATTGGAGGAGTGCTGTCTCAGATTCAAGGAGGACAGGAAAGAGTCCTTGGATATTTTAGTAAAGTTCTCTCAAAACCTGAGCGGAATTATTGCGTCACGAGAAGAGAACTTCTGGCAGTAGTGAAATCAGTAGAGCACTTCTATCAATACCTCTATAGAAGGAAGTTTTTAATCCGAACCGAACATGCCGCCCTTAAGTGGTTGATGCAGTTTAAGAATCCAGAGGGTCAGATAGCCAGGTGGATCGAACGACTCCAAGAATATGATTTTAAGATTGAGCACCGGGCCGGAGTTAGCCACCGAAACGCTGATTCTCTTTCCAGAAGGCCATGCCCAGCAGAGTGTTCCCACTGGAACAAAACGGAATCCAAAAAAGCAGCAGTGCTAAGAACGACAGTGATCAACGACGACTGGACGCCTACCAAGATCAGGGAAGAATAAGAGAGAGATCCAATTATACAGAAAATCCGAAAATGGAAAGAGGAAAACCGTCGAACACCTTGGCAAGAAATATCGAACCTAGGCTCAGTTGTTAAGACGTATTGGACCCAGTGGGACTCATTTATCATGGAAGATGGCTTGCTCAAACGAGTCCTGGAAAATGATGACGGTTCAGAGAAGAGAAGACAGTTGGTGATTCCAAAGAGCAGAATAGCCGAAGTACTTCGTCAGTTATACGACAGTCCACCAGGAGGGCATTTTGGTGTGAAGAGGACCCTTCAGCGAATTCGGGAATGGTTTTATTGGATGAACAGTTCCGACGATGTAAAAGACTGGTGTAAGAAATGTACTATTTGTGCTACGAGTAACGGGCCTTATCGAAAAAGGAGAGCTCCTATGAGACAATATAATGTTGGAAGCCCGTTTGAAAGAATAACTTTGGACATTGCTGGGCCATTTCCAGAAAGTGATAATGGAGGCAAGTACATGTTGGTAGTAATGGATTACTTCACTAAGTGGGTCGAGATTTACGCACTTCCAGATCAGAAGGCGGCCACCGTTGCAGATAAGTTGATCCAAGAATATATCAGCCGATTTGGAGTGCCTTTGGAGATCCATAGTGACCAAGGCAGGAACTTCGAAAGCGATCTATTCCAAGGGATATGTGATAGACTAGGTATGAAGAAAACAAGAACTACGGCTTATCATCCGCAATCGGATGGTATGGTAGAACGAATGAATAGGACAGTTGGCAAGTATTTGACAAAGATGGTGTCCGATCATCAGCGAGACTGGGACCAATATCTTCCGTTCTTCACAATGGCCTACAGATCTGCTGTTAACGAATCGACAGGCCAGACACCAGCCAGAGTACTATTCGGACGCGAGATGCGACTACCTTGTGATCTAGAGTTTGGGTGTCGACCTGGAGAAGATGTAGCAGGTGAAGATTATGTGATCGAATTACGAAGAAGAATGGACGATGTACACGAATTAGTCCGTTCCCATCTCCAGATCGCTAGTGACCGAATGAAGAAACGGTACGATACGCAAGCCGAAAAGGGGTGTTTTAAGAAGAACGACAAAGTCTGGCTTTATAATCCCAAAAAGCGAAAAGGTTGTTCCCCCAAGTTGCAGCAGTTTTGGGAAGCTCCATACCTCATTATGGAAAAGATCAATGATGTCATTTATCAAATAAGCAAGATTCCGAGGGGAAAGCCCATGATAGTACACCATAACCGACTGGCGTCTTTCGAAGGTGACCACGACGTAGATGAAGAAGTGGAAGTAAACCAAGTCCAAGATGTGTCTGACCTCACGTTTGAGGAATTCATGGGTGCCTATGGAGGTACCGGTAAAGCAAGACATGGTGTTACCACTGAAGAAAGGCAAGATCTACTCGCGCTTCCCGATGACTACTCACTGGCCCTTACCATCCCGGCCAGTATCAAAGACGCACCAGGGTTGGCATCCGTCTTTCGAAGGAAGTTCGGTCGAGTTGCAGAACTTCAATGCCAAGTGCCAGCTCCCGGTAAAACCTTGAAACTCCAAGATGCATCACGTTACCTTTTCTACCTGGTAACAAAAGACAGCATTGAACACTGGGCGGTTGAAGAAGCTCTGGTCAATAGTAGAATAGATTCAAGATACCGACAATTGATACATGATATTTACCAAAACGCAACCATGACCGTAATTCTGGACGACAAATTAATAACGGATAATATAAAAGTTAAACGAGGAGTCCGACAAGGCGATATAATTTCACCTAAACTGTTTACCTTGACCCTCGAAGACATAATAAAATCAACAGATTGGGAAAACAGAGGAATATGTATTAACGGAAAATACCTAAATCACCTTAGATATGCGGATGATATACTCCTGATCTCCTCGGAACGACAAGAACTGGAATTAATGCTGAATGAACTTCATGAAAAATCACTGCAAAAAGGCCTAAAAATTAACTTCAACAAAACAAAAGTAATGACAAACACGGAAGACCAAGAGGAAATAAAAATTAAAACAGAAAAAATAGAACAGGTAAATGAGTATATCTATCTAGGACAAGCAATCAGAGCTAATAGAGAAAATCAAACAGCCGAAATATCGAGACGAGTAAGAATGGGATGGGCAGCGTTCGGCAAACTTTCTTACGTTCTAAAAATCAAACAATCCCTCTATACTTACGAAGCAAGGTATATAACTCCTGTATCATACCGGTGCTCACCTACGGAGCACAGACATGGACATTTACACAGGGCAATTTGGATAGGATAAGGAAGGCACAAAGAGCGATGGAGAGACAAATGTTGGGTGTATCACTTAGAGATAGAAAACGTAACCAGTGGATCAGAACCAGAACAAAGACAGTAGACGCGATAGAACAAGCAGCAAAACTGAAATGGAAATGGGCTGGACACAATGAACGTCTCCAAGACGGACGATGGAACAATGCCATCGGAAAGTGGCGACCATACAATGCAAAGAGATCAAGAGGCAGACCACAGATGAGGTGGAAAGATGACATCAGGAAACAAGGAGGTCCCACATGGCAGAGAACAGCTCAAGATAGGGAAAGATGGAGAGAACTGGGGGAGACCTATATCCAACAATGGAAGGATAGAGAATAGGTTCAAAAAAAAACAAAAGACACTGCCCGTGACCAACCTACCTACCGAGATGTATGGGAAGCCTTACTTCAGTTGAGAAAGCACGTACTAGAGTCCGACGTGCAAAAGTTAGCCATGCCAAAGTTGGAGTGCCGCCAATTAGATTGGAGGGTTATACGAAATATGGTGGAGGAGATCTTTAAAGACACCGAAGTCCAGGTGTTAGTCTGTTGCAATCCGCATAGTTACTGGTGCAGAGAGAAAACCGTCCCTTGTCATTTCTATACAATTGGAAGTTGTAAAAGAGGGTCCAGTTGCCGATATCAGCATGTCGTTTCAGTTCCAGTCCCGACAAGGTTCCAGGAGGAACCATCTTTTAAGAGGGGGGCAATGTTACGATTTTAAATGTTATGGCGTATAGAACTGTAAATATTTTATGACTAATTCTTTTGTATTGATTCTTGTAATTTCTAGGTCAAAAATCTACCTGACATCATTTGGGTCCCCTTCGCTAAACAAACAACAATCGAATTTTCTGGGGACGAGCCGATGAAGAACATACCAGTTTTGAGACCGGTTGCCGCTGTGTCTACGTCGAGAAGGCATCGTATTTTCTACAAAATTATGTTTACCAGCTGGTTTCGTATAAATAACGGAAGATTTTCATTGAGGAGTTAGTCAACAAGAAGCTCGCGATATCGGTTTAAAATTGTTCGAACGCAAATGAATTATTTGTAATTATTAAGTGTAAAATAAATTAGTATAAAATAAAGACTTTTTATAAATTATCGTGAGTTTTAATAAATTAGAATAAAGACAGTAAATTAGAAAAAAGACAATAAATTAGAATAAAGACAATAAATTAGGACTAATAAAAATATTACACTAATTAAAAAGTAAATGTTAAACATAAGATCTATGATATGAAATAATTTAACGTAATATTAAGAAGTTTTATAGTATATATTTATATGGTACACAGTGACGAAGTAAAGGTTTGAATAAATTCAATATTTTTGAAACTAAAAATATTTTGCCAAATCCTCGGACAGACGAATTATATTTTGGATTGCACATCGGCTTGTGTATTTCGAAATACTGATAACGTCACCATTTTTATGTACATGACGTCATCGATGTTTTCCAAATGAAACGATAATATTCTTTTTTCGTTTTTGGGGTGGTGCGCCATCCTGTTGAAACCATATTAAATTACTAGGCATATTTAAATTTTTATTATTTGGGTGATTGCAGGAATAATATCGTTTTAAAGCATTTCTATATTTTTCCGTAGTCAACGTTCCTTCAATAAAAAATGGCCCCAAAATATTGTTACCAATAATTCCTGTCCAAACATTAATCTTTTCTGGATATTGCGCATGTGCCTCCTCCAATGAGGACTAGTATCTGACCAAAATCTAATGTTTCGCCTATTAACAGTTCCATTTAAGTAAAATTTATTTCGTCTGAAAACACTACATGTTTTACAAATTGCGGGTCATTATTACATCGATCCATCATCATTCGCTCAATCAAACCATTACATCCTCACTGTATAAACGTGTACTAAAACACAATATAATTCAGTAAAATAAACTATATATATATATATATATATATATATATATATATATATATATATATATATATATATACTTACCGAATATAATATCATTAATTCTTCAGCAGAGAACTCTTTTTCTTGATTAAGAGGTACAAACCTAATATCTTTTGGTGGCTTAGCATCATAAGTAAAAGGACCCTTAATAGTATCATAATCATGTGTACCAATAGCAACCAATGAACGTTTTCGGCAAATGTTATGATGCAACTTATCTTGTAATTCAATGAAACTGTTATATCTTTCTTTATCAAATGTAATGTTTCTAAGAATAGCTGATACGGCATAGGGTCGTATTTTTGCAGTATCGGGCTTTATTATTAGTTTTTCTAATGATCCCTCTGCTGGTTTAGTAGCACGAAATATAGGGGGAGAAACTCTAAAAATTAAAATAATGACATTCATTACATACATATTTTTCCTGTAAGATTAAATTGGACGTTGGAGACGTTGTATATATATATATATATATATATATATATATATATATATATATATATATATATATATATATATATATCTGTTGGGCGTGACGTGACAAAGGGGACAAGTCATTTTTTGATGAAAAGTTGATTGTTCCAAAACAGGCACTTACAAAATAGTATATAAAGTTTAGTGTAAAAAGGGATATATTAACATATTCCTTTTGGCACTGCCCATATCACTATTTCTCTTAGTGAATAATGAGACAACTTGACTTGTCCCCTTATTTACGGTTAGATTTTAATGTAACTAGCAATCAACTTAAAACACATAACCTATAAATTAGTATGCAACACGAGTCATAGTTGTGATTATTATTGCAAAATAAAAATATTGTTACGAAAGATTTATCCCACATAGGAAAAGTCCATTGACGAAAAAGAAGAAGTAGTTCGAGAACATTCAAGATGACATCGAAAATTTTCGATGAAATCAAAAACAATTTTGAAAATAAAATAGAACAACAACAAATCTAATTTACAAATACAAATAGTTGAGTTAGAAAAAAAAATTAATACCCAAGCTTCTTTATCTGATGTTTCAGTAACTAACGTCGAATCTAAACAAACAGCTTCATAACCTTCCATAATTGAACCAGGTACAATAAGAACTAGTAAGATTTTAAAACCACCCACATTCGATGGTCAGACAGCATGGGAAACTTATCCTTATTATGGGAAACCGTTTTGCCATTCCTTCCCCAAGATGCACCCAGTTATACCTCTCTCGTTGAAGCTTTAGAGACAAGATATGGCCAGCAGCATCTAAAACAGGTTTTCCAAAGTCAGCTAAAAATTCGATATCAAAAACATAACGAAAGCCTGCAAGAATTTGAAGCCGACATTAAAAGACTATTGCACTTGGCATACCCTCAGGCACCTAAAGATTTTCTGGAACAAATTGGAATACGATGGAGTACGTACAGTTCAACAAGTGGTACTGCCGAAATCACACATTAAAAGTGTGTTGCAAGAACTTCACATCAGCCTTTCTGGAGGACATTTTGGAGTCAAAAGAACACTGGCCAGAGTTCGAGACAGATTGTACTGGATCAATTGTCGCCGAGATGTAGAAGATTGGTGTAGGAAATGCGATTTATGTAATGGTAAAAAAGGCCCTAGAACAAGAAGTCGTGGTAAAATGGCACAATATCTTTCCGGAGAGCTTCTTGAACGACTTGCAGTGGATATTCTTGGTCCACTTCCGATGACAGAGAGAGGGAACAAGTACTTAATGGTCGCGATGGATTATTTTTCAAAATGGCCTGAAATTGTACCCCTTCCTAATCAAGAAGCAACTACAGTAGCAGAAGCATTTATAACACACGTCGTATCAAGACATGGAGTTCCTTTAGAGTTACATTCTGATCAAGGACGAAATTTTGAATCAGAATTATGGCAAGAATTAATGAAAATCTTGGGTATTAAGAAAACTTGCACTACGCCTCTCCATCCTCAATCAGACGGAATGGTCGAAAGACATAATAGAACTGTTTGTCAATATCTTTCAATGTTTGTCTCTGATAATCAAAAAGATTGGGATAGTTTAATTCCTCTATTCCTGTTAGCCTATAGAAGTTCCGAACATGAAGCAACTGGTTATTCTCCATCAATAATGATCACCGGAAGAGAAATGAAGCTTCCTCAAGATCTTATTTTCGGAAGATTGCCTCCCTGCGAAGAAGAACGTTCATCCCCGACCTACATTGAAAATTTTAAAGAAAAATTAGAAAAAGTCTACGAATTTGCTCGTAAAAGTTTAAAACTTCAAAGTGATAAAAGCAAGGCCAGGCTCGACATGCATGCTACTGGTACAACTTTCGGAAGAGGTGAACCAGTATAGTTATACAATCCCACACGCAAGAAAGGACTTTGTCCGAAACTTCAACGAAACTGGGAAGGCCCGTATACCGTTCTGCAGAAAATAAATGATCTAATCTATCGCATCCAGTTTGCAGCTAGAAGTAAACCCAAGGTAGTTCATATCGAGAGACTAGTTCCATACCATGGAACTGATCCACCCCGTTGGCTTCAATCGATTCCCGATAGTCCAGTTATTCGAGGCGAATAACTATAAAGGAGGAAGCAGTGTTACGAAAGATTTATTCCACATAGGAAAAGTCCATTGACGAAAAAGAAGAAGTAGTTCCAGAACATTCAAGATGACGTCGAAAATTCTTGAAATGTCTAGTGAAGTTTGGAACGTCAGAATATATATATATATATATATATATATATATATATATATATATATATATATATATATATACACACACTCAAAAATGTTTTGCATATTATCTGTAACGCCACTGAACGTTTGCAATTTGAAATTTTTTGCACTGATTTATTTTTGTCTACTAAAATAATGTATTTTACTGCTTGTTTTTTGTTTCTTAATCGCCGCAGAGATTCTTAGAATTCATATTGTGTTCATCAGTTGTCGAAAACTGATATTTGTAAAAATTGGTTTGCGTTTTATTCACTTTGTAGTAAACAATATGAATAGGCAAGTAATATCTGAGTTCAACAGAGCTAGAATCGTTACTTTGATTGAGGAAGGCCACACACAAGTCGACGTTGCTGTCCAAGTTGGAGTTAATCAGAGTGATGTGTCTCGGATTGTGAAAAAATATCGAGAGACGAATTCTGTTAGCGATCGTCCAAAAAGCGGAAGATCCAGAATTACTACCAATGTCCAAGAACGATTTTTAACGTTAACTGCCCGGAGAAACCCCTCTATGACTGCCCCAGCTATTAGAAGAGAGCTCCAGCAAGCTCATAATATTGTAATTTGCGATCAGACTATTAGAAACAGGTTACATTCGGCGAATTTATTTACAAGAAGACCATTGTTTGTACCAAAGCTTACGTTAGAGCAGAAAAGGACTCGACTGGAATGGGCCAATGAACATTTACAATGGCATGACAACAGATGGGGAAAGGTCTTATTTTGTGATGAAACCAAAATTAGCCTTTTGTCGGATAATCGCCGAATTAGGATTTGGAGGAACCCAAATCGACAGGATAGACTTAACCAAGCTGTCCAAAGAGTCCCATATCAAGGTGGCTCTATAATGTTTTGGGGCGGTATCATGCTAAATAATAAAATTCCTTTAATTCCTATTGTTGGTAACATGAATGGACAAATTTATATTAATACCATTCTTAGGCCTGTTGTACGCTTGTGGCGAGGAGCTGTTGGTCCAGAATTTATTTTTATGGACGACAATGCGCCTCCCCATCGTACGAGACATGTAGCAGATTTTTTAGAGACAGAAGACATCGTCAGATTACAATGGCCACCTTGCTCACCTGACCTTAATCCCATTGAGCACGGATGGGATATGCTCAAAAGAAAAATTCAGTCCCGGCAGCCACCCCCAAGGACACTACAAGACCTTAGAATAGCAGCGATTGAAGAATGGGGCACCATGGACCAGAACTACGTTAATACACTTATTAGAAGCATGGGACATCGCATTCAGTCTTGCATTAATGCAAGAGGTGAAAATACGGCATATTAAGTATTAGTTCTTATATCTGTGCAAATTAAAAAAAATATATTTATAATACACATTATAAATAATAATAATAAATTGTTAATTCTTTAAATTTTGTTTATTGTTTCTATTTCAAAACAAACAATTTAATATGTAATAAAGTATTTTGTTAAAAAAAAATTGATTTCACCAGATGTGATGGATAATTTTGAAAATATTACATTATGCAAAACATTTTTGAGTGTGTATATATATATATATATATATATATATATATATATATATATATATATATATATACCAGATGTTTCTGACAGTGGTGAACAGTTTTTTTTTGTTTCTTGGCTTGGACAATTGTCATTCAGCCAGTCTCAATGAACATAAGTTTTTTTTTTTAAAGAATTTATGTCAATTAGTGAAACATGATTAATATAATAATAATATTAATAATATAATTTATAATTATTCCTTACTAAATGATGTACCGTTCCCGTCATAAAAAACTGGTACAACTCTTATAATCAAAAATCGTGTTTTTTAAGTTGTGTACGTTGATCTTGTCAAATGTGTCATTCTGATTTCTAGGGCACCGTTGCCAGTTCAACGAAAATATTATATAAAACCAGCTAAAAACAAGACTGTGTAACAGACCACCAGTTTTAAGTATACTAAAAGCTAAAACATTATCGAGCATTTTCGATCAGTCAGTCACATTAAATTTGTTTAAACATGCATCCTAAAAAATTCTCATATTAATTTTGTAATTTGCCATCATCTCAATTAGGTATTCATACATTGATTTGTGTTTTATAACAATTAATGAAAATATTTTAATTCAAAAATAATGACAGATAATCAATCTAGACAAACTTCAAATTATTATAATAAAACATTACAATGAGATGTTGGATTGTAACTGTTACATTTTAAAAAGCGTTTTTTCGCACCGTTATTTTTTAGTATATAATACGTAGGATAAAGTATAATATTAGTTTTTCACATTTTTTATCGTTCTTGTAATAAATAATAAATTAATCTTGGCAGTTTGCCTGTTACAAAACTTATTGACACAGAATACAGTTCGGGTTCGGTACTTCGTTTAAAGATCATTTAAACATTTTGGATAATCACTCAACCCTATCTCTGCTTATTTAATTTCTTAGATTCATTTTTTGTGGTAATGATAAAAATAATACCTATCTAAAAAATTTATACATTTTTTAACGTTATTTTTTATTTAGATTTAGTGCAATTCCGTTGTCTATAATGGCAATAACGAATTGATTTCTGAACACAGGTTTACATTGGGAAAAAAAAGTGTACCAGTTTTATATGACGGGAAGTGTACATACTATGTTAATAAATACTATATCATACCTTTATTATTTATTATAATT